CAAGGACTTTGTCTATGGTGTTGAGAAGCAGATGGTTGAACTCAAGGTTTTAGAGAGGTAAACTTAGATTTGCGAATTTTGATGGGATTTTATTACTTCTTTCAAGATGTTAAAGAAATTTTGTGAAATTGTGCATTTTTAAGGCTGATTATATCATTTGTGGCAAATTCATAGAAGAATTAATATTTTACTACTACAGCGAAGCAATAATATCTTGTGCATAAGTAGGACTATTTAGATTTTTGTGAGTTTTTATGGATCTCTAGTGGTTTGTCATGGTGGAATTTGCAGGTGCAGACAGGGCCAAATTAAGAAGCAATGTTGGGCCAAGGAAAGAGCTGTTGGCACCAGTAGACGCACTTGGTGCTCAAATTGCTGCACAGACATTTACTTTTCGTAAGCTTGCTGCTGCTACAAATAACTTTAGGCCAGAGTGTTTCTTAGGGGAAGGAGGATTTGGACGTGTCTACAAAGGGCAGCTTCCCAATGGTCAGGTAAAATTTCCTTCACTTTTACTGAAAATTTGTTACTAAACGTGAGATATGATGGTTTGATCTTCAGTTTAAAATGGGAATTTTTTTCCACCAAATTAGTTGTTAATTTGTACAAGATTTGTAAATCACATTGGCTTTGCTTGCAAATTAATGGACTGCCGGTTGCAAGCACATCTCTAAGAATATTGCAACCATAGGTCCATAATTACAAAATGATAAATGATTAGGCTGTCTTTGATAGTCATGGCCCTAGGTACAAAATGATAAATGATTAGGTTTTCTAAGTTATATAATCATTTTGACGATTTTGGTAGGTCGTTGCTGTTAAGCTGAACCTATCCTTACCCGAAGTCCCAAATCGAGAATTTTTGGTTGAGGTTCTTATGCTTAGCCTTCTACATCATCCTAACTTGATGAACTTAATTGGTTACTGTGCTGATGGGGATCAGAGGCTTCTTGTCTATGAATTTATGCCCTTGGGATCATTGGAAGATCACCTTCTCGGTAATGTTCTTGTTTTGCTTATTAGCTTATTGTTCTGTTCATATTTCTTTTTGTTTTATATATAATTTGTTCCTTGTATTTAGAAATACCGTTGGATATATGTGAGATAACAACTTTTCTTCTAATGGAAATTATACCTTTACCCTATATGATCGGAATCTTTAGAAAGCAATAAACACACTCTGGTTTCCTTGTTACATTTAGAGAACTTAATCTATAATAATATTATATGTAAATTCAATGACTTTTTGTTTCTTTTTAATTACACATTCTATTCCTCTCGTTATAATGTAGAATAATGGAGGCTAAATGGGCTCTAACAATCAATTTCGGTTTTTAGGATTTGAGTTTTTTGAATTTTGGAAGGGGGTTTTGCAGGTTTAGACGAGAACACCAGCTCAAGAATTGTTTTTAATGAAGTATTAGCTACCAGGTAGCTGTTATAGCTCTCACTGCATTCTTCAGGTCTCTCTTTAATGACATTGTATAGTTTGTCATGTTTATTCTACAGCAAACAACAGTTTCATCCTTGT